ACTTCCTCTGACGTTTTACGATTGGACGCCTCCTTGTACGTCTTGAGGTGCAATGTGGTCATTTTCGCCGTATTTTCGTCGAAAAAAGGCCCTCCCAGCAGAGTGATCAAAGTTGAAGTATGCTGCGAGCTTCTGCCGGGGCCGGGGCACGTGGCCAATATGGCGGCCGAAGTCTCCTCATACCCTCAGTTGCCTGTGATGGAAGATAATACAGAGGTCAGAGGGACAGAAGCACTGTCTACAGTTAAGAATGACGAAAGAGGTGTCCGGAGTTTTCGCTGCTATGAGTCAAGAAAGGACCTACCTACCTTGCTCTGCAAGAGCTATGGCTCATGTGCCCAGTGTTGAAGACCTCCCGCCGGCCAACAGGAGGCGGCACTCACATGGGCCAGCTTATCCACTGAGGGAGGCTTATTTAAGGCATAGGGAAGAATTGATCAATCTCTGCCTGAGGCAAAAGTCCTGTCCCCTGAAGAAAATTATAGACAGCTATGTAAATAAGTGACTACTTTTTGAAACTCATCTTTTTAAGTCTAAAAGTGTGATTACATGCTTATCTGCTTTTGATTTTCACCTTGCTCATGGGCACTTCACCAAAAATACGTCTACAATGCAAACAATTTAGAGTAGTTGTGCAACTGCCTCTCTTTCAGTCTTGATGACCAGCGCCTTGTCGACAGCTTTGACAGCTAATCAATAAAGACGTCTGTAAGTCGTCTGAGGAACATGAACCTCCGACCAGTTCCTCAGACACTGCGACAGGCAGCTGAGAGCCTGGAGATGTTGGAGTTCTCTTATCTTGGTAAGTGAATAGTTTAGACGATACTTCAACAAACTGTCAAAATAAGATAAAAACTAATCATTTTTTTTAAACAGGAAGGGACAGGCAGGACACACAGGAATTTTATCAAGGAGTCGTGGGGAAGCCTGGAGAGGAATCTCTCTTGTTTGTCAATATTGAGCTGATGAAATTTTCGGGGCTAAAGTCAGTTTTTGGCTCCGGATGCCAATTTTTACTGCTGTCCTCGTCTCCTCGGTGCAAAGCAAGTGATTAGTTTTGCCTTTCACGCATATGGCCATATAAGTAGACTTTTGATGCCATCCCTTTTTTTCTTTTTCTTAATACTAAGACACTTCCTCATCGTTCCAGGTTTTCCCAGTTGCTTATACAATTATGACTTCAAAAACTACCACAGCATACTTATCAATAATTGAAAGGCTAAATGTACTGGGGCTCCGTGCCAAACTAGTCACAACAGACTGGGAGCAGGCCGAGCAGAAGGCGTGGAAAACGGTGTCCAAGAGTATAACACCCTGGGGGTGCCTTTTCCACTACCAGCGTGTAAGTATTACTCAAAATTGGATTATACATTGTAGAAATTCTCGGGCCATGTGTTTTGGCTTCACTGTGAAAAGTATCGTTGTAAGTTTACACAATTTGTGTAAACTTTAATTTTATTATAACTTGTGAATTTACGAGAGCAGATTTTTCACTCGCCCATGGATTTTACGCCAAAACGTAATGCATGTATTTTTACGAATTAAAATTGTTATTTTACAATTTGCGTGAAGAAAAATTTTCCGTAAAGCTACCTACTATTTTTCAGTGTTTATTCATAAGTCTTGCGAATATAAGAGGTTTTCAATTTTACAGGCTTCCTACAGACAGGCAAAGAAGAAGGGGTTGGTGCGCTACTTCAAAAAGGGTGGCAACAAGAAAGTGACGCGTGGCAAATTGCTGTATGTGCTCCTTCGCCTGCCACAAAACGACATCAAGAATGGATTCAACTCTATCAAAGGAGAGGCACAAACTAGGCTGGAAGGGAGGATGTTGAGGAAAGTGGAAAAGCTTTTCAAGTACTTCAGCAACCAATGGCTCACCAAAACATCACCAGAAAAACTCTAGGTCCTCGAGAAAAACGTGAGAGTGACGAGTGGCTTGGAGAGTATCAATGCTAGAATTAATGACCTCATGCCAATAAAGCACCCTCCTTTCTGGACATTTCTTGGTAGGAAACATTATCTTATATTTGGAGTTGTCACCCTCTCGGTACTGAATTGATATTTTTGATATTGGACAGACTTGCTGAAGGACTTTGACTACGAAATGTTTAAGAAGCATCACGATATCAGAGCTGGTAGAGAAGGACAAAGTAAATCCTACAAAAAGGACACAGACAATTGACGCACAGCGACATGGGTGGATTTGAACCTCGGACCTTTGGGTCCGGATCCTGACGCCTTAGACCGTGCGGCTGTCGGAACGGGTTAATATGAGTGTATGTACAATTTTTCGAGATAAAGTGTTTTTTCACGATTTACTAGACCATTTGGTCATTTTCACCTCATTGTTGTTAAGAAATGCTTCCTAGCACCCAAACTGTACAAGATAGAGCCAAACGGACGAAATTTTCGCAAAGGGCTCTACTTTCACGAGTTTCACCTTATGAGCCCATAAAAAATATTTGAAAAAAAAAATTATTCTGCGACCTGTGGTTATTGATTTTTTTTAACAGTCGATTTTAGAGCTAGAATGCTCGTCTTCGAACTCAATCTGTCTCTTTGTGATACAAAACGACCCTGAAACCAGCAGATCGCTCTCTCAATTCCTTCTCGAGTTATCGTGCGGACAGACAGACAAACACACAGACAGACGGACGCGAAACTTTTTGATCAACACTGGAGTAATAGGCTTCGCTAATCGCTCAGCGAATAATACAGCCAACAGGAAGATTTATCACATGAAAGAGAGAATGCAACTTATCTTAACTAAGAGTGGTGTTAACTTAGATTATGATTTGTCTGACAATCTTACTGAACTATTGGAAAGTTGACAAATGACCGAGGCACAGTCAGTATTCCTTCAACAGCAAGTACTTACTGAACTATTGGAAAGTGGACAATTGACCGAGGCACAGTCAGTATTCCTTCAACAGCAAGTAAAAGCATCACAGAAGAAAAATATGGTTGGAATGAGATGGCACCTAACAATGATCAGATTTGCACTTGCGATCCATCTGACTTCACCTGGTGATTATGAACTAACTAGGTAGATGTACGCCAGACCACGTCTCGCGTAACACGCTTCGCGATATCTCACGAAGCACTGTAACGCTGCGACGCGCCTGGCATACATCTACCTAGGCCTGCGGCGCTGACACCCGGGTCAGGTGGTGCAAAAATGTACACAAAGGTACGCGCATCCGGCCCGTCAACTTCCCGGCACTTCGACTATGCATGCAGGATTGCACATTTTCTTGCGTATTTTCATCAAAAACTTCCTCTGGCGCCTAAACTGTTAAAGATAGAGCCAAACGGACGAAATTCTCGCCCAAAGGGTTCTACTTTGATGAGGTACCTCCTTGGAAATTGTAAAAACAATTAAAAAAAAAAAAAAAACGTTATTTGTGAGATCTGTGGTATTTGATTTTTTTAAAAATCCATTTTTTTGAGCTAGAATGCTCTTCTTCGAACTTGATCTGTTTTTTATGACACAAAACGACCCTGAAACTCCCAGGTCGCTAGCTCAACTCGTTCTCGAGTTATCGGGCGTACAGACAGACACACAAACACACACACACACACGCGAAACTTTTTGACCACCACTGGAGTAATAGGCTTCGCTAATCGCTCAGCCAATGAGGGATACGGGTATGTTAAAGCTACCATCAAGCAGAACCCTTTCTGAAGGTGCCCCCACAATGAATGGGAGGCGAGGTGGTTCGGGCCGTGCGGGCAGGCCGTGCCGGTCGTGGGGTCTCAGCTTCCGATCATCTTATGAAAGCTGTTTTGGCATGAAAGTGGGTCAACATATACCTTTTTGGAAAGGTGACAGTGTATAGATGATCATTCTGTAAAAATATAAGTACTTTGATCCCTAACATATGAGAGGGGAGTGTTTGGAACGAAGGGCTCGGATACGAATAGTCAAAGATCGTTTTAAAACTGTGAATTCGTATGTTTGGAGACGTCCTAGACCTAAACATGATGCGAGCCGATTTTGTGCTAGACTTTCAGCTTTCCATTGCTATTTTTATGCGATTTTTGTGATGGCTGATTCTCGAGAAATAAACATTTACTTGCTGCAATGTCGCCAGCGGGGGACCCGCTGCGCTCGAGCGCTCGCTGCTCGCTCGGCGCTCAGCTGCCTCGGCGTCAGCTTGGCCGGACTTGTTCGGTTCGGCTCGTCGGGTGTCGGGTTCGGCCAGGTTCAGGACTTCGACCGACTACCGACAACCAAACCATGGCCAAACCTGACGGCCGAAAAAGAGAGAAATCAGAGAGA